CATCTCTTTTAACACTATAGGTAAGATGCCATCAGGGCCCTGTGGTATAGGGGGTCTACACCCAAACACGGGGAGAGTAGAGGGTATAGACCCAAACAGATAGGGAGTGTAGGGGGTCTAAACCAAAACACAAGGAGAGTAAGGGGGTATAGACCCAAACAGATATTGAGTATAGGGGTCTACACCCAAACACAAGGAGAGTAGAGGGTATAGACCCAAACACAACAAGCTGTAATGTGTGATCTCATCTTTTCCACCGACAGAAGGAAGAGGCCAGTAAACCAGCCATCAAACCCACAGATTCACCCAGAAATGTTTGTGCTTGTAGGAAACTCAGCAGCATCAATGTCAAACTAGGAAACATATATCTAAATGAGGGACTGACAGGTCACAGCTTCACCTTCCCCCACAGAGACTGAAAGACAGGCCCAGCCACATGCCTTAGGGGCCAGCTGGGACGGCGACCCGGCGTTGGGGCACTTAGAGGTGGCGCCCCCTGGCTCCCTGCACTCCTCTCACCTTGGCGTGCACTGAGCTCTCTCTCGTCATTGTGTTGTTTCTCTCTGGGGGTGGCGGGGGGGTCGGCCAGTAGCGGGCCAGTTCCAGAAGTATCTGCAATAGACTGCAATGTTGACCACTTTCAATGTGGGATCCCAGCAAGGAGGGGCCAGTGTGGGCCCTGGCTGCCCCACTTTCTGTCACTAGCTCTTCTCTCTGCCCCACCTCCTGTCCCTAGCTCTCCTCTCCATCCCACTTCCTCTCGCTTGCGCTCCTCAATATCACTGGCTCTTCTCCTCCTATTTCTGCTTTTCCTGCCCTGGTGTACCTGGATCCGCAGGAGTGAGTATGATTTGTCAGAAGCACGTGGGACGTCGTTGCACTGCCTTATGGGTCATATCCCTGCACAGGAAGTGTAGAGTGAGCAGTGGCCGTGGTGTCAGGCTGAGCCTGTCCTCTCCAGCTGCATTCGGTACTCAGAGTCACACCGTCTCTGCTGTTCCTGCTCCGTGCTCCAGTACAGTTGGCTCCTGCTCACCTGCCGCCCCCGATCTCCCAGCATCCCCTGCCCCTCAACTGCTGCCCCGCCCACATGATCAGAGGCCTGTAGTTCTATTTGTTTCTTTTGACTGTATGAATAAAGCACAGTGAACACATTGCTCTCGTCTCATTTATGTCTTATTTACGTGTTTAAAACACTCCCTGTTTGTGCCTGTGTCCCTGCACACCTTCTGGAGTGCAGTACAGACCTCATAACATGCCTGACTGCCTGTCCTGCCACCAACCCCTGGACAACAACACCAAAGTCCAGCTCGGGGGTTCTGCTGGAGGTTTTGGGCCCACTGAATGTATATGATATCAGGCCCCCTAACAGGCACGTGCAGAGGGGGGACGGAGGGTGCTTGAGCACCTGCCACTTTCCTCCAAGATGCCTCAAGTGCCCTTTTCTTGGGTTTTTTTTGTTGTTGTTGTTGTTGTTTTTTTTTTTTTGTTTTTTTTTAATGTGTATGTGCGTATGGAGCCCTGTCTTTGCCCCTCAACAATAAAATGTAACTATTAATCTCAATTTTGCAAAATAAAAGGATCTGGCTTGCAGCAGTCACATGACTGCCATTAACCAATGCTCGCCCTTGAGGGCAGAGCGCGCTCGTTACGAGCCGGGTACGAGCTCGCAAAGTGCACACGCATTTTCTGCAGGCTGGGTGGTGCGGAGCTGGAGGAGAAGCAGGCAAATTAATTGGAAGGTGCAGACTGCAACAAAACAGTAAATAGGGTGTACAGCGTACACTATAGTCTATAGCAACAAATGAATTGAAATAAATGAGCGTGCTGTTTGTGCAAAAGCGCGACAAACATTACCTGTCCTTTTATGAACTGCACAAGTAGTGGTGGTCATTAACTACTAGCTAACTGGGTAAGGGTGTTACAAGGGGGTCTGTAGCTCTGTCCACCGTTTTAGGGAACATGTTTTGTTTTAAAGTAAGTTACAGGACTTTTCCCTTCTTTTCTGGAGGGCTTTTGTTTCACTAAAAACGATCTAATATGGATATCCACATAATTCTTGTTATTCAGCCTGTTCTATCTTTTTAAACTTTGAGCACCCGCCCCTTTAAACGTCTCTGCACGGCCCTGCCCCCTAACCCAGACCGGTCTAGTTATGTTATATATTTTTATGGTCTCTATCGCTTGGAGTCCCTAGGAATCACCCTACCCTTCCCCCTTTATAGCACCCCTTCTTCAGCTACCATAAATAACCACAGGACTTGGGCCCAAATCCTCCACAGGATTTCCAGCTTCCTCACCAAATTCCTGCGATGATGAAGAGCAGGCAGACAGGCAGGACCTGCTCTGGGGGGCCGGGGAATCGGGCTTGAAGCTGGGGCTGCTGGGAGACGCGAACAGCAGTCACACTCACCCTCCTGATTCAGTGAGGCAGACAGGAAGCCAGAGCTCAGCTCCTGCTGGGGGGCTTCATTACCCCCCCACCCCGAAGCGAACCCCACATTCATATGCCTCTTTATCACCTGTAAAGCTGTAAAACACACTCAGGGCAGCTGGGTAACCTGTTAACTTGGGCCGATTATAGCACAAAAAAATACAATAAACTAGTATCGACAAACATCTGTGTTGTGCTTGGTGAGATTCTCCCTCTCTCTCTCATACACACACATATATATACACACACAGAGACCTGCTGCCCCAGGATTACAGTGTTGACCCCCTCGGCTGCTGTTATTATGACAGTAAACACAGCAGCACTGAATTCCATAGCTAATGTGCGACTGTGCTCAAAATAGACGCCTGGTTCAGTACAGACACACAGTTGTTCAAGGAAAGCCTGCCATTTCTGCCCCAGGTGGCTGGAATGAAGCAGTGAACATGGCCCCTGTTGAGTGGACTTTCCACTACTACAAGCTGCTTTTTAATTTCCCGCATGATTCCTGGGAAACTGAAAATCAGACACCCGAAACATCCTTCCCCATTAGGGCTGAGCTGGACCTCGCCGCAGCCTGGGTGACTCTCTTGTCATATGATCTCGCTCCTTTAGTTTGTCTAGGAGATCTGATGAAACAACCGAAGTGTATCTCTGCTACATAAAGCCAGGTCCATCATTTACAAGAGGAAGTTGATAAGCACTAAGAATAGCCCCCCCACCCCCTGGTCAGATTCATTGCGTGTGGCCTGCAGATAACAGCCCCGCTCAGGTCAAATGTACCCTGATCCCCTAAAGCTGTGGAAGGCAGACTGCACCAGCATCTGCCACCTTATAATCACCCCCTTAGTCCTGGCCCCCTGCAGAGGATGCCGGAGTCTCTGCTTGGGGTGACGCTCGTCTTCTTGAGGGGCCCACCAAAACCGCCCGGACTGCCACCAATGCAGGTCTACGGAGTCTGGCTGCCTCCCCTCACACTCCAAGACCCCCAGGATCTGTCATGTTCCGTTATCTGCCCCTAGATCTATTCCTGTCCCGCCTGGGGGGGGCTCTGTGTAGTGCAGTCCTCACCGCTGACTAACCCTCCTATTTCCTGAGTTCAGATTCAGTGCCGAGCAAAGAGGGCACTGACTCCATCACCATGTCCTGGAGGGCTGTGACCCCCCCAGGGGACTGGCACACTGAGGCACCGGGTGTGCATTACTAGGAGCAGCTGGGAGGGAGCCGGACCGTCATGTGACAGCCTCCCTCCCACCATCTCTGGCTCCTTCGTGGCCTAACAGTGAGCATGTTTTGGTGCGGTGGGCGGAGTCACACAGGAAACCCTCCAATTAGACCACTGATGTATCAGATGCCCGAAACGAGCTGCAGAGTGCACATCACAGGGGCAACGTTTCGTCCTGGCCCCCACGGCCTCCCACCCGGAGCAGCGGTCCAGGGCCTCTGAGCCATGAGCTATTTCCTGGTGATGAGCGAGCAGCACAGTGGCCGGGTTCTGAGCCAGTACCAGCAGCTGCGCTCACAGGAGCTCCTCTGCGACGTGCTGCTGGTGGCAGCGGATGGCACACCTTTCCCAGCGCACCGCAGCCTGCTTGCCTGCTCCAGCGACTACTTCTGGTCCATGTTCAAGGAGCACACACAGGAGTCGCAGGCGAGACGCGTCGTGCTGCCGGCGCTGTCCTCAAGGGGGCTGCAGATCGTCTTGGAATTCATGTACACCTCCTGGCTCTCGCTAGCGCCCTCTACACTGGAGGACACACTGGAGGTTGCCAGCTACCTGCAGGTGACTCATGCTGTGGAGCTCTGCAGCCAGTACATGAGCGATAGCCTCAGCCTAGACACCTGCTGCTTCTTCGCCAACATGGCTGCCCGCTACGGGGTGCCCGGCGCCCTGACCGCAGCCAACAGTTTCATCGGCACCCACATGGGGGAGCTGCTGGGCCCAGTGGGAGACCGAGTGGGGCTGCTCGAGTTGAACCTGGACTCCCTGCAGGAGGCGCTGGCGGTGCCGGAGATGCCTGGGGTGGACGAATTGCCGCTGCTGCTCCTGGTGCTGGATTGGCTGGACAGCAACCACGTGAGCGCCGTGAAGAGTGACCTGCTGCTGAGCCGGATCCGCTTTGGCCTGGTCCCACCAGAGGTGCTGTCCTGGCTCTCCTCGGGCCGGGCCCCTCTGAGGAGCCCATTTGTGCGCAGCCTGGTCCTCAAAGCCCTGCGGTACCATGCCCAGGGACCCTGGCAGCCTCTGCTGCAGAGCCCCCAGACCATGCTGCGTGCCTCCACCACCCAGGTGCTGCTGGTAGGGGGCAGCTCACAGGGAGGCCAGCCCGAGGGGCAAGTCCTGGCCTTCTTCCCCTGCCACCGGAAGCTGCAGCACCTCACTGACCTCCCCTGCACAGTCCGGCACCACTGTGCCTGCACCGTGGGCAACTTCCTGTTCGTCCTGGGGGGGGAGCTCATGCGTGCTGATGGGGTTGATGATTCATTGGCCAGCAACCAGGTGTGGCGCTATGACCCCCGTTTCCGGCGCTGGGAGATGGTGCCCCCTATGGGGGAGCGCAGGGCACAGTTCTCGTGCTGCGTAGTGAATGGTGTGATCTACGCAATAGGGGGGCGGCGGGAGAATGGGGTGCCTCTAGACTCGGTGGAGGCATATGACATGCGTGTGGGCTGTTGGCGGCAGGTGGCAGTGCTGCCATGTGGCATGTATGGTCAGGCCTGCGTTGCATACCAGCACAATATCTACATATCTGGAGGGATCCACAGTGAGAGGCACCAGAGCAGCAAAGACATGCACCGTCTGGATCTCTGTGGGCCACAGTGGAAAAAATGCGCAGCCATGTCGATTGCCCGCTCCGGCCACCAGATGGCAGCACTGGGTACCAAGCTCTATGTCTTCCTGGGAATGTACGAGCTATTCAGCGACATAGAATGCTTTGACCCTGACCATAACGAGTGGAGTCGCCTCCGGCCCATGCCAAGCGACCGCTTCAGTTATGGCCTGGCTCCGCTGGAGGGCGCCGCCCTACTGGTGGGAGGCCGGAAGTGGCGTGATGGGCAGGAGGTGGCCACGGCAAACATAATTGAGTACATCCCCGAGAGTGACAGCTGGAGGGAGGTGAGCAGGCTGCCGCGGCCCCTGAGTGGGACACAGTGCACACTCATGCTGCTGCCCAACCCCCACCATATGTAGGCATAAGCGACCACCTTCGTGACCATGCTTCCGGCTACATGGCAGAGCACAGCTTCAGAAATGACTGTGAGGAATTTGGTCAACTTTCTGAGGTCCAGGCACTGGATTGCAGCAGTTCTTCACCGGATTTACAGCCCTGGCAACTATGCAGCAGGACTGATGACATCAAAGCTGGGATTTTGTGGTGGCAGAAGAGGTCAGTGGTAAGAAGAGCTGATTTAGCAGAGTGATTCCTGGAAGTGAGATGATGGGCAGAGGACACAGCAGGCTGGGACAGGCGGAGCTGACTGTTTAAATAGGTACAGACAGGAAGGGGAAGGACAGGCCCTGAAGTCCCCATGGCATGGAGCAGGCTGAGGTCACCCTGCGCCCCCAAGCGGGGCTCACAGACTTGTCCTGAAAGTGTTGTCATGTTCCAGGAGGAGACATGGAGGCAGCGGGTTTGGGGGGAGTGCATGAGGAGACGGAGGGGCAGAATCTGGCATAAATACAGCGCCACAGAGTGACCGGAAGTAGAAAAAAACATCCTCTTATATAATTAGTGATGTAGCTAAAATGTCCCTGGGGGGTCATCTGGTGATTTGTTACGCTGATCATCTGGAAACTTAATACAGACCAAATAGCACGTTATGCCATAAACAGATGAATAAATGTAGTTTTAAAATGTGTCTGCAGTCGTGAATGAGCATTTGTGTCTGCCTACATCTGTCGAGTGATCATTAGAGAGGCGTGATATCTGGTGCTGGGTGACCAGCGATGGGTCAGGACGCAACTGGCTCGGTGTGGACATTCCCAGCAGCTCATGGCCAAGAGTTACTGCAGGCTTGTCAGGTTGAGCAGCGCGTCTCTGCTATGTAGGAATGGTCTGGCTGTGTGTGTCCCCTGCACTGTGTGTCTTTATCTATGCCCTCTGCAGGGACACCATGGTACTGAAGACTTTGACCTTAAGCCCAGAATCTGACAGTTTACAGGTTTCTTTGTTCAAACACACCCACTAAAGCAATTGGCTGATTCATATGTGTCTGAGCAGGGAAATCTGCAAACTGTGTTGGATTCTGGCCCTCCAGGACAGGAATTTGGGAACCCTGCCTTGGGGAATAGGTATTAACAACATCATAGTGAGAAAGCAGGTGAACCAGCAGAAGACAGCAATAAGATACCAGAGGACAACTTTGATTTAAAGAGTGTAAGTTTATTGACTCCAGTTACCATCACAAGAATTTTAAAAGCAGGAACCTGGGAGAAGAGTAAATAAGCATTAACACGCAGCCTCTTACATGTGCCAGGCTCGTTTCCACTGCTTCCGACCATAGCCTGTGCTCGATTGCGCTTTGCAGGCATCTTCAGGAATCATCGTTCCTATCTGCCAATCACGCTGTTGCATGGCAACAGCTTGACAGCATGGCAACCATTCAAGGCTTCCTCTAGTAGCAATAAATATGATGAAAATATTCATTCAATGTGTCGTTATACTGTAATGTCAACACAAGATCTTTTTTAATTAAATCACTAAATATATTACTTATCATCTCTCTGAATATACCTTTTTGGTCCAATACAGTTTATTTACAATCCCAAGAGACAAAAAAAACACCTTGCTTATGTTAAAATTTACCCTTGAAATATTCCTGCGGACGCAGTAAAATGCACACAATGTGTATATGATGTGTCATATCCATAGGGCATGCATCACAAATCAGAGCTTGGCAGCTGCATGTTGCATGTTGAATATGTTCACATGTACACAACTGCTTATGCCTGGGAGCAAAGACTGTATAGAAACAAAGACCTGCGCTGTGTAAGACTGAGGAGGGGGGCAGTAACCAAGGCAACGGCCCCGCCTAACTGTGCAAAGTCTGCATTGGTAAATTCAGAGAAGGTACGCCTGATGGGAACCTCACACATTGGCGCCCATTTTCAAGGGGAAGCCCAGACCTGAGCCTCCTACCTTCAGCATGCATTTGGCACAGGCTTAAGAAGGGCCTGGTTTTTAATGTCGCTCAAGTGGCACTTACAAGCTGATACCATGACAGGGGCCTTTACAAAGTGCATATGCTCACTCTCTGTGCTGCCAGCAAAAATACTCCATCTGCAAAAGCAGAACATGACGACATTCTCTCATGATAGGAGCCTCCAGGGCAGACTGGGGGCGGTGAGGGGGGCAGGTATCACTCACACAAACCAGGTCCCCACAGCATTGCTGTTGGCGTGCACATGAGGGCCGACCCTGTGCACACTCACGCATGTAAAACAGTCACACATGCACAGAAGCCCATCACAAACAACCAGTGTTGGGAAGATTACTTTGGAAATGTAGTAAGTTACAGATTATTAGTTACTCTGTTAAAAATGTAATGTAAAGTCATGTAAGTATTTTGATGACTTCATCAATGTAATGTAACTTAATTTCCTTACTTTTTTAACAAATGTTTTACACTTCCAATAAGGTGAAAATCCCAAAGGCTTTGCTGACCAGCTTTGTCTGGAAATATCCTGAAAGAAGGCATTTCTGCACAGCGAAAAGATGCAAAGCAACAAAATGAATATTATACTCTACATATAAGCTTTTTAACAAAAAGAATATATTTGGATGTAACCACCAACATTTGGATTAGTAAGTTTAATTACGTATTTTTTCTCAGTAAGTTTAATTACGTATTTTTTCTCAGTAACTGTAACGGATTACTATTACATTTATTTTGTAATTTAATTATGTAACACTGTTACATGTCACTAGTTACTCCCCAGCACCACACGTCACTCACAGACACATGCTCACAGAAACACTGGCTCCCCAACGCCATGGAGATGGACACCCCCCTGCCCGGACGCCAGGGCACAGAACCATTAGCTTTAGCAAGGAAAACGTTCATTAATGGCGGCTCTGACGAGCTCCTCATAACGAACGAGCAGGGCGATCTCCACCCCCCAGCCCCCCCCCCCCCCCCCCCCCCCCCCCGACACGGATGCTGAACGCCATCTGTCACAGGCAGGCGACCACTGGGGGAGGCCGGGGCTTCACAGGGGCGTTGCTAACGAGGAGTCAGCATGTTAACAGAGACTCACGCTGCTCAGGTCCTTAAACACAGCAAAGCCTCATGCCCTTTGCCCCCCCCCCAGCAAAGAAGTGGAGCCAGTGAGCTGGGCATAACGGGACAATGTCAGGTCAAACTGAGGAAAACGCAACATTACTGGCAACTATAGTGAAGGTGCTAAAAATCAGCATATTAATAGCCGCATGTTGGCAAACACAATAAAAGGACTTGAATAACAAACTGTCCTGCAGTGAGGTAAACAGGAAGGATGCTCTAGGCCGTCATGGCAGGACCAGCCCGAGGCCATCACAGGGACATACCCAGCACCCCCCACAAGGAATCACAGGAGAATCACTCAGATTCAGAGTGCCTCCCAGCCCTGCACCACCCTCTCCAAGGGGGGAGGGGTGGCTAGCGTTTATCTACAGCACAGGGACAGCCAGTAACCCCCCAGGAGTCTCATGGCTGTCACGGAGGGAATAATCCAGTGGCTCACACGTGCGTCTCAATGTAGGAGTGGGTGTGGGACAGCGTGGCGGGTCGGGGGGGGGCAGCTTCCCGCTCCGATGGGGCAAGGGCCTGGGGTGCCTCCATGAACATCTCCTGGTACATCCTCTTCCACTCCTGGAAGTCGGAGGACGTGAGATTGGGATTGGCCAGGAGCTTGTTGATCAAAGCCATCTCACCCTCCCTGTCCTGGGGGGGGCACAGAAAGAGGGGAGGGGGTGAGTCACATGTCCTCTCTCTCTCTCTCCTCTCTCTGTCTCTCTCTCTCACACACACTGACACAAGAACACATGCACTTGCCACAGCAGAACTGGTTAATGAAATGCTGGAGGACTGCATGCAAGGGGAAGAGCGTGTCCTCCTTCAGTATCCCATAATGCAACAGGATTCTAAGAGCAGATGCCATGGGAAGCAGAGAGCAGTATGAACCTAGAGTCATCCTCCAAGTTACACACACAGAGTCACACATGCACAGAGTCACAATCAGAGTCTCATGACGTGGCCCACCTTGAGCGTGCTCTGCAGGACACGCAGGCGGTGCAGCTTGTCATTGAGCTGGGGGTCACTGCTGCGCTGCAAGAAGGAACGCCGGTACTCCAGCCGTGTAGAGGGCCGCAGCTGCCCCAAGGGTGACAGACTGGCCCGCTCCAGAGCCAAGTACAGGTCCCGCAGCGAGTCTGCCCTCTGGCCACCGTCCTGCTCGCTGCCTGACAGGGGTACAGGGGTCGGCACTCAGGCCTGGGGGCCACTCTTAGCCCTCCCTCAGATTCCCCTGGACACACATCTGCTCACACTTAACATCCGCTGTCCCGCCACCGAACCCCCCTGCTGGCACCCTGCTTGCTCCCAGACAGGCCAAACCATTAACGAGAGCACAACACGCTCAGTGGCTAATTAGCTTGCCATGCTTTAATTACATATTAACTTCCATTACTGACGGCAAGCCCCCCCCTCACCACCAAGGGACTGTCTACACAGCAGGTTACAGTCACATTGACTTTAGTGAAAGCACCCAGGACCCCCTACACCCCAAATATGCAGTTCCTAGTCTCCGCGGGGTGGTTTGCTTTGGCAGGGAGCAGTACCTCATTCAGCCACCAGAGGGAAACCTTCTTACAATTTCACTTAGATTCAGTGGCAAACAGCAAATCATGTGGTTGCAACTGAATACATGTAGCACACAGACAGGCAAGGTTAGGAGGTTCAATTACTGTGTGACTAAGCATTAGCGAGTCTAAGATGCCGGATCAGAACGATTCTGAACATGTGGTTATTGATGGTGCCAGATGTAGAGCTTCCAGCATCACAGAATCAGCAGCCCTCTTGGAATTTCATGTATAACAATGTTTAGGGTTTACAGAGGATTGTGGGATTAATAGAAAAACATCCAGTCAATGTTATTTTTGCGTGTGGAAGCGCCTTGTTCATGAGAGAGGTCAGAGGGGGATGGACTGGCTCATTAGCACTAACAGGAAGGTCACAAGTTGAAAAATAACAGCTCAGGACAGCTGTGGTGTGCAGAAAGGATTCTCAGAATGCAGAACTCATATATGCTTGAAGTGGTTCTAGAGGCCACAGATGGGTCCTCCTCAGTACCGGGTTTGTGTACCTAATAATGGGGCCACTCTGTGTTTTTACCTGCTACTTTGTCCTAAGCCGCCTGCTGAGATGGTACCACAGAAAAACAAGCCGAGTCGTTTGGCTTGTAAAAGGAGTCCAGCATTTCGGCTTCACTGCATCGCGACACTCCAAGCTGTGCAGGGATTTTAGCTTCAGCAGCGGCTGCACTGTGCGTTGCCATGGTGAACCACTGAAGGGGTGTGGGAGGGGTCATTGTGCACAGCACTCTGTGGGAGCCGGCCTGGGGTCCCCAGGGGAAACGTGTAGATCACAACTGCATCTCTGCGCTGATCACTCATGGGACCCCTCACAGCGGGGGCCGGCCAGCTTCTACAATGTTCATACCCAGACCAGGGGGGAGTAAGAGGAAGGTGGAGAGGACTGAGGGCAAGTGGGACAGCCAGCCCTCTACCTCTTCACCCGAAAATGTCTGAACCTCACCTGAACCCCCCCCCCCCCCGAACGTGCCCGGACTTCCTCACCTGAGTCCTCCCCAGTTGTGCTTGGACCTTCTCACCCAAGTTTCCTCCACCACCAAAGGTGCCCAGACCTCACCCAAGTCCCCCCCCCAAAAGTTCCCCTCACGTGAGTCCCCCCACCCCTGAACGTGCCCAGACCTCTTCACCTAGATACCCTCAGAATGAGCCCGGACCTCACCCAAGCACCCCCCAGACATGCCTGGACCTTCTCACCCAAGTCCCCCCCAAATGTACCCGGATCTTGCACAAGTCTCGTAACATCCAACCTCACCTGAGTCCCTCTCGTGGTCCCGGCCCTGCTGGAGCTTGTGTATATCACTTTGTTCAGTGTTGGCAGATGGGCTAAGAATGGTGTGGAGGCTACCATCGCGGGGCAGGGTGTAACTGCGTGGCTTCACTCCTCCCCCAGGCAGCTTCAGCAGGTTCTCACCCCCTGCCATGGGGAAGGGTCCATAGTGGTCCTGAAGCAAGCTGCGCTGGGCTGGCAGTGTGGACTGGCGGCGTCCCTCAGGGGAAACCCCACCCCCTGGCTCCCCAAACACAGCATCCTCTAGGGGTAACGTCTGCAGGTAATGCAGCCCCGCACTGGTCAGCGGTGTCTCAATCAGGTCCTGCCATGAGCGCCGCTGGCTGGCCGACTTGCGTGCCGGAGAGACACCACCGCTGCTGCTGCCCCCCAGTGGCTCAGAACGGAACTCCTCGTGAGACGAGCGCGACTGTGATGTCTCAGTGGAGGAGAGCCGGGCATGCTTGGGCTCCAGGTAGGGGCTGGCGCAGCTCATCTGAAAGGAGGGAGGAGGGATGATCATGTGACCACGTTTGGGCATCACCCGAGTACTGCATCATGAATGTTTCTGTACTCACTGAATCGTATTGGCTGTTTTAACAGTATGTAAACAGGGTAAATAGAGTAATAATTGAGTAGTGAACAGGGCAAAGGTCCTGGCCTGATCGATAATGCCCCTGCTCTAGTATTTATACCCATGTGTTTGTAGTTTGGAATATTTATACCACGTGGAACGGCGTGCCAGGGCAAAAACTACATGATCCAGCCCACAGCCCCTCCCCTCCTCTCTGAAAGCTCTCGAAATTATAAAGGAGGTGCTGCCAAGAGACACAAGAGCATCACAAAGGTCAAAGGTCAAGGGCTCTCCAGTAGCGAGCATCTCCATATCCGAACTGAAAGAGGAACACCCACACACACACACGTACATACACACACCTATACCCTAACTGGGAGCAGGTGGCCTCACCGATGGTGGGCGGGGGTACGTGTCATATGGGGGGGGCGGGCTGTCCTGCTTGGGCGTTGATGGCATGTCGTTTTCTTCCTGCTCGCTCTCACTCCAATAATCTGAAATCAGAGGCACACAAACATGCTGTAGCACCACTTCACACCAGTAGAGGGCATCCAAAAGACAGTAACGCAGCACTGTCTCATCAATATCGGTATGACCCAGATTTCTCACTGTGGTGTATTGGATGCAGGAATGCCAGTTAAATGTGTGCCTCTCAAAGCCCATCAAACCCAGAGTATCACAGCAACAGTGGACCATGTGGTTGTGTGCATGTGCAGTTTTAATTGGATTCAAGGCAGGGTACATCCCATACTGTTACGATGTTTCTGTTACCACGGTGACAGTCGGCAATACAGTGTCACCAAAATATAAATGGAGCGAGTGTCACTGACACAAGTTTTGCACAGTGCTAGGAGTAAGAGAGCACTATGCTCCACAGTCCCCTTCATATTCCCCATGTCTCCTCCGTGTCCCCGCCACAAATCCTCCATGTCCCTCCCACATCCCTTCCATGTCCCCCCCACGACTTGTCTCCCCTATGTCCCTCAGACATTCCCTCCATGTGCCCCCATGTCCCAACGTCTCCATGTCCTCCCATGTCCCCGTCACATCCCCCATATTCCCTCCACATCTCCTCCCATATTCCTTCCATGTTCCTGCCACAACCCCTCCATGTCCCCCCCATGTCCTCTTCATGTCCCCCACAACCCCTCCATGTCAGCCTATGTCCCCTCCCACATCCCCTCCATGTCCCCTCCATGTCCCCTTACGTCCGTCCATGTCCCCTCCACGTCCTCTTCATGTCCCCCACAACCCCTCCATGTCCCCTTTACGTCCCTCCATGTCCCCTCCATGTCCCCCTAAAGTCCCTCCATGTCCCCTCCATATCTCCTTGTATCCCCATCATGTCCCACCATGTTCCCCTAGGCCTTCCAAATCTATCTTTTTTTTTTTTTTTTTTTACCCCTTGTCGTGTCTGGCAGTTTAGCAAGCAGGATGTTAGTCTGGGTGCCTTATTGTGCCAACACTTTTATTTTGCCAAGTGGCGCTTCGGATTTAAGTTCCTCTTGTTACTTGAGGTATACTCTTTATTAATCATTTTTATGTCAATGCGCCACAAAGCCGGAGCTGACAGGGGGGGTTAGTGGGAAAGAGATAGAGAGAGAGACAGTGAGAAAGGAGAGAAAGGGGTGAGAGACAGAGGAAGTAGAAAAATAAATAAATACATAATAAAAATAAAATAAGAAGGGGGGGTCAGAGAGAGAGATGAATGACGGCAGAAGAGTGGAAACGGAAGAGAAGAAAAGGAATAAGAGAAAGAGTGGAAAGTGGGTGCTGAGGGAAGAGGGCAAACTGTGAAAAGCAAGTGCAGTGGAAAACAGGCACACTGTGGAAAGTGGGTACTGTACAATGTAGGCACTGTGGAGAACTGCAGCCCCTCTGCTGTCATGGCTGTGCTCAGCACCTCACTGCAGGCCCCACGCCTGCCAGGTCTTCCCCTCTGGTGCCAGCTCCCCACATGCAGCACTGCAGCTCAGCGCTGCCCCCTATGGACTCAGCCAGGAACTGGTAAACACCCCCTCCCAGGCTCTAAATGCTGTCCTGCCCACTCAGATTTCTACTTGGATCGGCACTCATCCATGATATTTCTGCTTGATTGGCCACACCAGATACAGACCTGCCCGGTCTCCCTGGTCCTGCCTGATCCGCTCGCACTCTACATAGCCTGCTGCCGCCATGTTCAGGCGACTCAGCCACCTGCGGGGAGGGGGGTGGGGTTTAACAGGAAACTCATCATCAGTGGCAGGCTCACAAGCCAGAAGCGCAGTTATGAGAGACAGCGGCATGTTGCTCTTTCACCGTGGCCCCACTTCAATCCTGAAACTCAAAGCAAGCCTCCAGTCACCTTGCCCTGCCTACCCCCCCACCCGCTGGCCGCCAGATTCTGGTCTGCCTACTCTAGCCCCTGCTGACGCCCCCTGGTGGATATGGGTCAAGGTGAAGAAGTCACACGCTGCCCGCATGCACCCGGGGGGCCGCAAGATGAAGGAGTGTGACGGCATCAGCAACACCTAGCATGCAGAAACGGGAGATCTGTGAAGAGCCAGGGCACTGCTAAGTGGCCGGATATGTTTCTGCAGGTAACTGCAGCGGTCAGCTCACCTGTTCATGTCATCCACACCATCTGCAGCGAAGTAGAAGCTCTTAATTTTGGGGTGACAGGCCTTGAAGGCACTGAAACACAGAGAGAGAGAGAGAGAGAGAGAGAGAGAGAAAGCATGTTTGCTCTCCAGACTACATTTCCCAGGAAGCTGTGGCCTGGCAGCGTTTCCACGGATACTCACTACTTCTTGCGGCACTCGCTCGCCCGGTCAATCTTAAACTCCGGGAGACTGATGAAGCCCTCGGCCTTTTCATCCTGTCGAGGGTGAGGGGACACAGGGACAAGAGATCAGGCCCCCCATATGCTTTATTGTGTGCCTCCCCCGTCCCCATGTCCCTGAATGCTTTGGAACCCACAGGTTCATGGTGAACACAGAACCTTCCAGACCTTTCTAGCATCCTACTTATATCTCCTGAGGGCCGACGTCGGTAAAATTTGCTTATGAAAGCAAACTCCCACTCATTCCAGTCCCCCCCCAAAATCTCAGCTCCTAACTTTAAACACCCACTAATCTCCAGACACTGCTTTGTTGATGGGCTCCAGGGGAAAATGGCAGTGCGGCAGTTTGAAGAGCAGTATCTGTACCGCTGGATCCACAGGCTCTTTGAAGCCTTTTGTAAGCCTAATTATCCTCAGAATGGAATGCAGATTTCACACATCTGTCATCTGTTCTGAGCGTGGGTGGGGCTTCACCCTGCAGTGGGTTGGACTTCACCCTGCTGTGGGTGTGGCTTCACCCTGCTGTGAGTGGGGCTTCACCCCTGCTGTGGGTGGGGCTTCACCCTGTTGTGGGTGGGGCTTCGCCCTGCAGTGGGTGGGGCTTCACCCTGGAGTGGACGACACTGAAGAGTGAGCTTGATACTAGCATTGGTTTGGAAAGCACACCAGCCAGTAATATGTCAATCAACCAGCCAATCATGGTTCAGATGTGTCACTACCAGAGTGCTTGTGGGGTTTGAAATAAAAGGTCACAAATGTTTCTATAGTCAGAAGCCTCCCATACAAAGGTTCATGGATCATTTTCATGGGTCCCACAGAAGGGGGTGCTCTATCCACTCACCCCTGCCACAACCTTGTTATCAGAAGTCTAAGTGGCTTTAAAGAGGAGCTACACTGCATGGTGGCACAAGGCAGTGCTGCCCCCCGCTCACACCAATATAGCTGCTCACCTCCTCGTTCATGTACCAGTAGAGGCAGGAGTCCTTCAGCACAAACCAGTACTTCTTCCACTTCTGAGAGAAGTAGCTCTTGGCATCCCTCTTCTTCCAGAGCCAACCCTCGCAGTCACCACGGCCAAGGTCCCGGCAGGACACCCGACGCTTGCTGATGGAGGCTGGGGGTCCAGCTAGGGGGTGAGGAGTCAGAGAGGAGAGGGAGTCAGAGAGGACAGTCCTTATTACAACCAGGAACTGGCTAGTCAAGAGCAGCACAGTGAAAATGGGGTTATCAGCACAAGAGAAATGGCAGGACTGGGTTAGGTGTTCCTCACCTTTGCTCTTCTTCTTGGACTTGGACGGCAGTGAGGACTGCTGGAAGCTCTGCAGGTCAGACACAGCAAAGGTCAGCAGAGCTCAGCCTCCACATCACCTCCACCACCTCTCCCCTACCCCGATACCCGATATTCCTCAGATTCCATCCTCTGGTCTTAAGGCCATCTCTTGCCCTAACAGACGAGTGGACATTGACAAATATAACGGCTCTGGATAGTCTAGCCTCCTGGGCCACACAGATTAACCTCATGCTGGTTACTGCTGCGCCCTGCTGGATCCTTTAGCATTGTTGACTGATAGATCTTATCTGTGTGACTCGGCTGGTGATGTTTGTATGCTGTCTGTCAGCCAAACGCACATGGAACTGTGACGCCGAACCAGAGGCTGAATCCCCCTCAACTCTGATCGTCAACCCTACCTGCTTCCCTAAGGAGGCTCCTGCTTGGCGATCAGGAGGCCCTGAGTGTTACACAGAGACACCCCAGTGAGACTCCTTGCCGGATGAGCTGGCTACCTCAGAAACATGAACACGGCAAGTGGATTCATGAGAAAGTGCTGAAATAGCAGGTACATCTACCCCCCTCCTCTTAGAACTAGGCCCAAGACATGAGACACCACCTTCCCTCAAATCCCTGAAGGCTGCAGATCGGATTGTGCAACCCGGCACAGAAGCTCCGCGGAGGCGTTAAGGCTTGCCCTAGTACACAGTGGTATAAAACCTTGTCCCAGAACACACAGGCACAAAAGCACGTCCCAGTACATCCTGATATTAGGACTTGCCCCAGTATGTAATGATGGCGTCCTGCCTCAGATATTCCCAACTGTTCTGTGCCTTGGCATTAGACTAATGATAGTGTTTCTGCAGTTAATTGAGTTCCCCTTGTAGGAGGTGGAATCACAGCCATGCCTGGTTAGGGACTGGGCAGCCTGATCCAGCGCCTGCAGGCTTTCTAATTACCGTAAGGTGAATACACCTGATTAGCACTGCTGTCAGCTTCGGCTATCTAACACACACTGGGAGATGAGGAAGATCAGGCAGAAACAGGACAGGGGGATGATCACAGACACACAGACAGGGAAGATCAGGCAGAAACAGGACAGGGGGATGATCACACACAGGGAAACAAGAAAGATCAGAGAGACTGGGACAGAGGGATGATCACACACAGGGAGACAAGAAAGATCAGAGAGACTGGGACAGAGGGATGATCACACACAGGGAGACAAGAAAGATCAGGCAGAAACAGGACAGGGGGATGATCACAGACAAAGAAATCACACACACACTGTCACAGACAAAAAGTATTCGTCTTTCACAAAGACACATTTTTGAGGGCTCATTGTCTGGTTTTCGGCTCTACAGCAGCACTAGGTCATACACAGAGTTTCAATGCCAGGACAAGAGGATGACGTAGAACCCCACCCAGCTCACAGTCTGCACACACACACACACACACACACAGACACAGTGGGGCGCATGACCCCGTGAAAGTCAGCACCAGTATGAGCTCCTTCTCCCAAACTGGGAATGATCCGCGGAGCTTGCCGCACCATCTAAATATAGAGGCTTTTTTGGCAGGATACAGGGAGCCCACAGAGTGATGATGTGAACAGTGATCTGGTGTAAACAGCAGGGAGGTGGGTAGGGGGGGCAGAGAGAGAGATGGAGAGAGAGAGTGAAAGAGGGCGTGAGAGGGGAACGGACAGAGGGGAGAAAAATCAGGGGAAAACGGGAAAGAAAGAAAGAAAGAAGGCAGAGTTGGTAGAGAAGGAAGCTCAGGTGGAGAAGGGGAGAGTTTTAGAAAATAATGAAAAGAGGGACTTAGGCATAACAAGAACAGGGCAGCCGAGCAGAATGTGAGAGCAGGGGCACGCGGGGCATTCCAGGGGCCGTGGGGGATACTCTGACAAAGGCACGCATACAGACATGCAAACGCAGACACGCAGGTGCAGACATGTGGATGCAGACATGCAGACGCAGACACACGGGTGCAGACGTGGACGCAGACATGCAGAAACAGATACACAGGTGCAGGCATACGGATGCTGACATGTAGACGCAGCATCCAGACTCAGACATGTGGACGCAGACATGCAGAAGTGGACACATGGGTACAGACATGTGGACACAGACATACGTGTGCAGACATGTGGATGCAGACACGAAGAGGCTTAAGCAGAAAGGGCCCCCTAAGCTAACGACGGCACAGCCCTGTCACCTACGTCACCCCAAAACAGCCCACACACGCGGCTCCATCTGCACCGTGCAAGGCGCCCGCACCTAGACAGGGACCATCTGCTCCACGGCAACTGACAGTTCAGTGCGCCCAGACACCCCCGACCCCCCTGGGAAGGGAACCTTAATCAGAAGCAGGAGCACACAGCACACAGCACCGAGTGACACAGAGAGACACAGAGTGACACCGAGCAATAACGAGTGTCACTGACCGACACCTAGTGACACAGAGAGACACCAAGTAACACCAAGAGACACACTGAGAAACAACAAGCGACACCAAGCAACACTGAGTGACACTGATCGACATCGACTGACACTGAGCGATACTGAAAGACACTACGTGCTGTGAGCAACACTGAGGGACTTCAATGACACTAAGTGAAACCAAGTGAGTGACACTGATAGACACCTAGTGACATCAAGTCACACTGAGTGACACAGTCACACTAAGCCACACAGATACAGACCTAGAGACAAATATACTGACACACAGAGTCAGGCAAACACAAAGACACAGATATACAGATACAGATACAGAGACAAAGAGACAAAGATAAAGACACAAAGACAGAAACACAGACAGACAGAGACATAGACACAGATATAGTGCTTTTCCACTGGCATACATGAACCGACCCTTACCAGAGCCATACTGCAAAGAGAGACTGGTTACAGGCCAGTTTCAGCTCGCTTTGGTAACCGAAGAGATGCTTATTTACTGTTCACACGGTACATCATGATTTACTATGTGCTATCATTATATATATATATATATCATTATTATAATTTTTTTTTACTGTGTGCTAATTTTCGCTCACATTCGCTTGCGTAATTTGCACCAGAAATCCATTCTGTTCAGCTGTTGTACAGTACTTTAAGTAGGAGGACGGAAATTTTTAAGTTCCAAATTACCGAGAGTGCATCAATACATCGCAATGTACAATACTACTAATAATGTATAGAATATATGCTTTTTCCTTCAGATAATCCATGTGTAGCACACCAGTGTCTCTGTGCATTTCAACCAATCAGATGGTGGTGTTTCACCTAGCCTGGTATGGTCAAACTTTCAGTCCTGTTTTAAGCAGGGCCATGTCAGCACGGGTACAGCTTGGGTACGACTCGCATAATTTAAAATGGAAAACCGTCAGTTTGTGGTACGGCTCAGTTCTTGGTGGCAGTGGAAAAGCACCAAGACACAGAGGCACAGACTGGGGCCGTGAGAGGGAGGCCCTGGTAGATGTGCTGGTACCTGGTAGAGGGAGGGTGAGTCCGGGCTGGGGGTGGACATAGACTCCTGCCTGCGCACCTCCATCTGCAGGGAGGGCAGCAGGGTGTAGCGCCCAGGGCTGCCACTCTTCTCACCCTTGCGCTTCACACGCCGGCCACTGCGGGTGTGGCGCTCCTCACTTGGCACCCGCTCCTCACTCACGTACCGCAACATTGAATTCTCTGGCAGGGGGAGATGGGAGGACTCACCAGAGGGCGCCACCTCTGTAGGCACTTGCTCACCAGCAATTTCTGGATAAGACCCACTCACCAGAGGGCATCACCTCCACCAAAGCCCTTTTTGCTCCACCCCACTGTGCTCCAGTTACTTCGCAACAGTACACAGAACACCCCAGAGAGCAGCTGTAGGGGTTGTCATGACAACATGCCGGCCATGTACACTCTGCCTTTGGGAAGTGCTTGGGCAGGCCGACAGATGAAGGGAAAGCAGCTTGGTGACAGGAATGCAATGTCCTTGCTGTTTGTGCACCTGATGGTTTCTACCAAGGCAGAGAGGGGGCCAATCGAAAGGGAGGAAAGAGAGACATCAGTGTGTGTGTGTGTGTGTGTGTGTGTGTGTGTGTATGTGTGTGTATGTGGTTGCGTCCATGCAGCAGGACAGCGGGTCAAAGCCATCACTGGTCAGGGATCCAGCTGTCACCCTGTACATCCAGCCATCCGGTCATGGAGATCCACAAGCTTGGACTCAGGGCTGTCATTTTTATGTAAACACAGTAGTTCATGTGACCATACAGCACACCCTCAGGACTGGACCAATTCAGAGCTTAAAAAAATTAATGGAAAATTATAGAGACAAGTGGTAAAGTCTGAACTTACGTAGACACTGAACAAAGGGAGACTGATGGGCCCCTCCCTGCTCACATACGCAGCACCCCCCAGAGATAATAGTAGGCATAACGGACTGGGGTTCCTGCACCAGCTGAGGTGATAATTGGGGACTGCAAAGGAACATCTGCTTACCGTAGGATTATTTTTTCAGTGACAGTGCTATCCTCAGCTCTGTTCTCAGCACCATCACCTGCCCTGTACATATCTCTGTCTTTAGCACCATCCCCAGCCCTGTCCACAACTCTGTCCCCAGCACCATCCCCAGCCCTGTACACAGCTCTGTCCTCAGCACCATCCCCAGCCCTGTCCACAGCTCTGTCCTCAGCACCATCCCCAGCCCTGTTCTCAGCACCATCCCCAGCCCTGTGC